AAACGAGGTTAGAATTGAAAACAAGATTGAAAGAAATCTAAATCTAATTCGAAATTAGCTACACATATATTTGTATGTATATATATATATATAGAGAGAGAGAGAGAGGTTACCATTGTTTCAGCTGCAAGAAACCCTAGACTTGTGAGAGCTGTTTTGGAGAAGATGATAAATATATATGGTGAACGAGGTGAATGTGTGTGAGTTGAAAGGTTTAGGGTTGGCTAAGTTGAATCTTGCTGAGCGTCCAGATGGGCTTCAGCCCAGTTTCATTGAAAATAAGGTGGAGGGAAATGGGGAAATAGAGAAACAGAGAGTGAGAGTGACAAAGATAAAGAGAAGAAGAGAAGTAGAGAGAGGAAGAGAAAAACCTCAATGTTGAAGCGAAGCAATGCGAGCGGCAGTGGCGATGTAATGATGCGCGACAGTGGAAGATCAAGGGTGAACGACGGTGGAAGATCGACGGTGGTTGTGAACGGCGAATCAACGATGGTGAGTCTTTGAGAGAGAGAGAGAGACAGAGAGAGCAAGAGACTGAACTTGTTTGGGTCTATGTACATATTGATAGAAAATATGAAAAAAATAAAATAAATCATAACTAATAAATTGGGCGGTAATGTAAGAGTGTATTCCCACCAAAAACTAAATTTGTGTTTTTGAAATTGTTTAACTTTATTGCCGACTAATTGTTTTTTGGTTACTATAGGGTTGGCTAAGTTGAATCTTGCTAAGCGTCCAGACGGGCTTCAGCCCAATTTCACTGAAAATAAGGTGGAGGGAAATGGGGAAATAGAGAAACAGAGAGTGAGAGTGACAAAGATAAAGAGAAGAAGAGAAGTAGAGAGAGGAAGAGAAAAACCTCAATGTTGAAGCGAAGCAATGCGAGCGGCAGTGGCGATGTAATGATGCGCGACAGTGGAAGATCAAGGGTGAACGACGGTGGAAGATCGACGGTGGTTGTGAACGGCGAATCAACGATGGTGAGTCTTTGAGAGAGAGAGAGAGAGAGACAGAGAGAGCAAGAGATTGAACTTGTTTGGGTCTATGTACATATTGATAGAAAATATGAAAAAAAATAAAATAAATCATAACTAATAAATTGGGCGGTAATGTAAGAGTGTATTCCCACCAAAAAATAAATTTGTGTTTTTGAAATTGTTTAACTTTATTGCCGACTAATTGTTTTTTGGTTACTAAAAATAAGAATTTTGCTGACCACATTTTTGGTCGGCAAAGATCAAAAGTAAAAAAATTTCATTAATATTTGGCAACAAAAATACTAGATTAGTCGCAGAAAAGGTACCTTCGCCGACAAATCTTTTTAGTCGCCAAATTTCAATCAACGGCGACTAAAATATTAGTCGCTAAATGTATTAATTTGGCGACTGATTTTTTTTGGTTGCTGAAAATAAGTTTTTGGCGACTAAATTTTTGGTCGCCAAAGAAAAAAATAATTTTTTATTTTCCATTCGGCGACTAAATTGTTTTAGTAGCCAAAACTCAATATACGGCAACTAAAGTAATTTTTGGTCGGGGAAAATAAGTTTTTGGCGACTAAAATTTTGGTAGCCAATTCCACAACCAACTTATTTTTGATCTTCCGTGACCAACTTATTTTTTGGTCGCCAAAATGTGACCTGCCACGACCAAATTTATAGTTGGTCGCTAAAAGCATATCACTTTCTGCGACCAACACATTTTTTGGTCGCCAAAATATGACTTTCTGCGACCAACTCATATTGGTCGCCAAAAATAATGATCATTCGCGACTAATAAATATTTGGTCGCCAAAAGGTAATTTTTAGCTATCAACTTTTATATTGGTCGTGGAAAAGGTAATTTTTAGCTACCAACTTTTATATTGGTCGTGGAAAGTGATCGCTAAAAGTGTAGATTCTTGCCGTGATAGTTAACCAGGAAGGTGAGATGCAAAATAGTTTGCATGATGTCTAACTTGTTGGAAAAGCAAAATGAATAGGAGACTAGCTAAAATGTAAAAAAATGTCCATTTAACTAGCTTGTTAGAGATCTTCTTGATTCACTGTATGTGTGAATTGAAGAACTTCCTTTTCTTTAATTTCTCTTTAAGCAATTCATCCTGGTCCTTGACCTTTTTCTCTCTTTAAAAAAAAAAAAAAAAAAAAAAAAACAACAACAACAACAACTAGGCCGTTAGATATGCTCATACTGCTTAGAATATTTTATAAACAAAAATGTGATAAACCTAAAAAAAACAGAGGGATTGTGTTTTCATCATGAATTAGTGAATCATATTTTTACTTTATTTTCTTTTCTTTTTCTCAACATATTCAAAATTTGAACATAACCTAAGAGAAGCAATATATATATATATATATATCCATGTGTTGGTACATTTCAATATTTAATTGATAAAATGAATGAACAGAAACTTCAACCGAGAGGAAGTGAAAGTTCATAAGCCATGATTAAAGAACAATATGAAAGCTTTCCACATTGATTAGGGAAGTAAACAGGTAGAAACATATTAATTACTAGTTAAACTGGAGCTCTGGTTGGTGTTTGGTTCTGTTTTGTGTGGCTGAAGTTGAACTGGATGTGTGAATGTTTGTGCTGCTTCTGATCTCGGGTTTGTGTGGCTGAAGTTGAGTGAAGTTCTGAACTCTGAATTCTGTCTTGGTCTGAATCATGTTTTGGTATGCATCAAGGAGGGCTGGCTTGTTCAAGAGTCTGCTGTAATGCCCCCAAAAAAGGAGTCATTTTGTTCTATTTCTGGCAACCTAGCAGCAGGTGTGCTTTGGGCTGGCATCGGGTTGTGGGCTGGTTTGTTCTATCTCTGCTCTGTTCTGCTTTATAGTGCTACTATGAACCTGTTTGTGATTTTGGCTTTGTTATCTCGTGGTCCTTCTTTCTTTTGAGTTTGGTTCCTCACCAATCTCTTGGGTTTGAGCTTGCAGTTGATTGGGCTTCCTTCTCGGTGCTAACCTAGTTGGGATTGGGTTAGGTCGCTATGATGCTTGATGCTCCCCCTCTCTTTTTTGATGTAAACTCATATCTTGTATGATTTCTCATCAATAAAGGTTTTTCTGCTGATAAAAATATGTAGAGCCGGCTCAACCATTTAAACTACTTAATTTATTAAAAAATAATTAAAAAACCTTATTATCGAAAGAATCTAAGTTTTCGAAGGCTAGTATGATCTACTAATGTTGGTCAAGATTTTGAAAAACCATACTTAAATTTTTTAAATCAACATTGATTTGCAAGTTTATACGCAAGTGTCCCCTAATGGGTATTTAACATGTACTTGGCATATATTATCAAGTCCCGAAAAAATGACGTTTACCAGATAATTGAAGAAAAGAAAACAGTATCATAAACTCTAACCAAAATAATATTATATATCCAGTTAAATTTTAGAAAGTCTTCAACATTTTGTTTCGATGAGTCCAATGTCGAGACGATCACATATTCAATATCGTATTAGAAAAAGCTGTGGCAGCATTTAGTCAAAAAGAATAAGTCAATTAGAGTAATGGGGAAGACTTTTAAATTTTTATGTCACCTTTTTCTTTCGACAATGTTACGGGCACCTAACCAACCACGCAACTAATCATATAAGATAATTTTGGTCCAGATTGGCTCATGTTTATACCACTATTCTCAATGCAAAAATGTTAGAATTTTAAAAATTCTATCAAAATTTTTATCAAATGTCTCACATGAATGTGGGACCCAAGACATTTGATAAAAATTTTGGTAGAATTTTGAAATTTCTAGCATTACTCTTTTTAATATTTTTCATATTGTATTTTGTAGGTCCCTTCATGAATCTCTTGTGGTTGGTTTCTCATCAACTTGGGTTGAGCGAGCACATGATCGGGTTAGGTGAATGGTACCAACCTAATTGAGATCAATGATCATTCGCTTTAGTTATGATGCTCAATATTTTTCATCCGGAGTCTCTCTTGCTTTATTGATAATTGTATTGTACCTTGTATCCTACTTTTTCATCAATAAAGTTTTTTTTTTTTTTTTGTTGATCAAAAATAAAAATGAAAATGATTTGAATCATTTATCACATAGGCCTTGGTGGTGAGGATGAGTTATGTAAAAAATCAATTTTATCGGAATCGATGAAGATGAACAAATCACATTTTATTTTATAAAATGGATAGTTTAAGATTAAACATATAGTTGCCATCCATTAAAAAAATATACTTTGTTCACATGTCTAGTGATATTCAATTAAATTGATATTTTATAAAAACTCATCTTTATCTTTGAACTTAGATGAATGATTCAAATTATCGTTTGTGAGCTCAAGATAAGATCCATAAAATATAAGATATGGGTATGGAGGGAGCCATTCCCATTTTGCCCATACATATTAGACGGTGAAGTCCATGGGTGAGTTTTACTGTGATGTGATATTTTGATTTTGATTTTTTTTATTTTTTATTTTCTCAATTGAAGCTCCAAAATTAGAGGGATATATCATTACTCTAATAAAAATTATTGTTACACTTATATTTCTATAATTAATTCTGTGATCCATTTTGTATCCATAAACTTATCGATGCTGTTCAATCCTCAATTCATTTGATTCGTATTTAACTTTTTTTCAACACGATTTTCTTTCAGATTTTATGTTGGAAGCGGGTGTAATTTTTTTTTACCAAATTTAGTCAAAATTTTAGAGGGAAAATAGTTGGAATTATTTATCAGTAATATTATGAATTCAAACTTAACTATTTAAAAATTATTTAGAATTAGCATATTGAATATGAATCTCACATTACACAAATTTAATTTTCATCACAAAATCACCCACTCAGAAAATTTTAAATGGATAGACTTATTGATTATTTAAACACAAATTTAAATAAGTTAAGACTAAATTGACGCAAATAAAACATGACAAAGCAGAGTAAAAATAGCAGATTTTTCTAATTTAATCTTATAAAAACAATATAAGATGAAGGACGAGGAACACCAATAATAATTATTACAGCAAAAAATGGGAAGAAATTAGGATAATATTATTTTGATATTTGATACAAACATCTATAAAAAAATTAGCAAAACATTTCAGCAATATCAACACCAACTACAAACCTGACCTGAAAAAAGAAAAAAGAAAAAAGAAAAAAAAAATGAATACAGAAACAGAAACAGTTCATTCACATAAAATCATTGAAGTCCAGGCCCTCCGGAATTTCAAACTTCAACATGTTGCTGCAATAGCTTTCTCTCTCATCTTCTGTGCTGCTGCCGTTAATGAATGTCGACGAAGAGTTCAATGGCGTCGGGCTCGATATAGGCGTTGACATCACTGAATCAAATGTGAAATTCTGGCTGGTGTTGCTGCTATTGTTCATTGACTGAAAGGTTGAATTATCAGAAAGATCAGACACATTATTATAGCCACCATAGTAAGGCAGGTTCATATTTTCTTGGGAATTTTGGCAACTTAAATCTGTCAAGTTTGTTGAGAATTGACCCATTTCAATCCCTTGAATGAGTTGGGTTTGATCAATAAATGAAGTACAGGGGACACTAGATGATGAACATGGTGGAAATTCCTGAATTGGAGTCTGATTTTGCAGATGGGTATTGAAGAGTTGGTTTTCTTGATGTTTTTGCAAAAGCATTTCTGGGTTTTCATTATGAGATCCTAGGAGAGTTGAAGCAAGCCTTAAGAGTTCAGGGTTCATGAGTGTTTGAAGCCCGAGTAAGTTTGAAAGATTGAGCTGAGTCGAGCTAAGAATCGATGACAGGTCTAGAAGATCGAAGCGAGGACTATGAGTCACTGGATCGATACCCATTCGAAGGAGTCTCTTTCTGATATGGGTGTTCCAGTAATTCTTTATTTCATTGTCAGTTCTTCCAGGCAAGCGAGCAGCGATGGCCGACCACCTGAAATCAAACAAAGAGTTGAGTTGCACAATTTTAAAAGTTGATTGATTTTGGAAAGCATAGTTTTCATCCAAATTAACAAAAATTGCTTGATTTTTTTTTTTTTTTATTACTTATGCAAAAAGAGAGAATTTTAATAGTCTTACTTGTTTCCCATAATTCTGTGTAGTTGGATTATAGTCTCTTCTTCTTCAAATGAGAACCTTCCTCTCTTTATATCAGGCCTTAAGTAGTTAGTCCATCGAAGGCGGCAACTCTTTCCACATCTGTGAAGCCCTACATGCAATTGAATAATGAAATCAGAACCAAAAAAATAACTATCTGTCAATTCACAAAAATAAAAGTATAACAAATGGATATATTTATATGTCAGTTTGGTTCTGTTTTTGTTTTCTAGTGAAAACAGTACAAAATTTTGACCAATTATTTTCGAAAACTATAAAATTTTCTGAAACAATTTTCGAAGTTAATTTTGAATTTTTGAAGCACGAAATGAAAATGATATGAAAACAATGGGCGTTTTTAACTGCTCGTAGCTTTAGTTTATGAAAACTTAAAAAATGGAAACAAAGAAAACAAAAACCATATCAAACAGGAATTTTTACATATGCAACATCTAAGTTATCTTATATACCGGCATTCTTGGGAAGGTTTCGCCAGTTGGCTGGTCCATGAATCTGAATATATTGGATGAGTTTCTGATCTTCCTCAGGGGTCCATGGACCTTTCTTGACACCACTTTTTTCACAACAAGGTGATCTTCCCATTGTTGTTCTTTCTTTGTTATGAGCTCTTGAAAATGAAGATTGTGATGATTATAAAAAGATGGAGAGAAGAGAAGTTTATCAATGATAGACAAATAATAATGAGCTTCTTTTGGAAGAAAAGTGAGCTTCTTGTTGTTGGGTTCAAATGGGAGGGAGGATGACTACTGCATATATAGATGAGAAAACATCCTCAGAAAGAGGTTGAAGTCAATGGGATTCGGCGCCGCCCTCATGCAACGTCAGTCTCTCTATCTCTCTTGTGTGCTGTTTCTTAGGACTGAAGAGTTGAAAAACAATCACAAAAATACTCCACATTTTAATAAATTATCAAATATTTTATTAAATACTTATATGAATGTGATGCTTATATAGTGTGGGTTCATACCTAGATGAATATTATATATAATATTTATTAACTCATTAACATTGCTCTTTAATGTTACTATACTTTTTTATCAACATTATATTGAAAATAAACGTTATTAGTGAGACTCATCACACTAATATTGTGTTGATAAATAAGATGATAAACATTAAAAATGTGATAAATGAAGCATCATTGCAAATTATTCACCACTTTGGAGCAAATTTTCATAGTAATCTAGTCAGTTAGACAATTGTTATAATTTGTATTCAAAGGGGGCAAAGTGTAATTTGCCTATATATAGAGATAGATAGCAGGGTAGAAGAAATAGTTCCTCGTAAACAAAGTTCATTGATAGAGATGGATGGAACAGGCAGGAAATAAGATTGCTGAATCATTATTCGTGAAGACATGGAGAGAAGAGAGAGAAGAGACAACGATGGCGGACGGGGAGGTTGGATCCCAGTGATCAAGCAAAAAGGTAGGCAAGTGCGTTCTAACTTGTGGACTGATGGTCGAAGGGCAGCATTGATTACACTATTTGTGGATAACTTGTCGGAATCCTTTTCACCTAGAAACTTGTATGATTTGTTCATCAAGTTTGGTGTGGTTAAGGATGTGTACATACCACAAAAGTGAAGGAAATCAACCAATACAAGATTCGGGTTCATGCGTTATAACTGCTCTATTGCAGCGAATGTTGCTGAACAGAAGGCTAATGGTTTGTGGGTCGATAACAAATCTCTGTCGATCAAAATCGCCGAGTATGGTAAAGGAATAAAAAATAGATAAAGGCAGAAACCATCACTAACAGGACAAGCTGAAGTTAGAAATAATGTTGCTATGGTGACCAAGCAGATTTGGCATCAGCGCACCGATGGTCGGACGTTTGCAAAGGTCATAAAGAGAGCTGAACCCAGATGTACACCACCAGTAACAATCAAAGTAGATGAGCTAGGAAATGGGTAGCTGTATGAGAGTTTGATAGTGAGACTCAAAATAGATTACTTTGTCCTGAATGTGAAGAACAAATTCATCAAAAGAGGAGTGCTGAATGTGTTGGTATGAGCAGGAGAGAGCGAGATGTTATCATCTCATTTAATTCCAATGAAGATATGTTAAGTCATAGGACTCAGCTCAAGGATTGGTTCCATGACTGGTGTGAGTATATCACTGAATGGAGACCAAGTATGCTTCTTCATTAGGAGAGGTATGTTTGGATTAGTTGTTATAGGGTGCCCCTTAATTTATGGAACTCAGATACCTTCCGAAAGATAGGAAGATTATGGGGAGAGTTAGTTCTTTTAGATGGTGATGTCTGCACACCTAAATCCTTTCGTTGTGGAAGGTTCAAAATAGTTACCAGTGTCATGGATCCGATTAATACAAGCTTGAATCTGGAGTGTAAAGACATATTTTACCCAATAAGAGTCTCTGGGGAGCAGATTACAGATGATCTTAGTACCAGTTTGTCACGACCCAAACCCGGCCCTATGGGTTTAGCACCGTAACCGGCCAGTAATCCGAGATTACCGAAGGCCTGCTTAACAGTAATACAGTAAGACAGAGTACAGGGCCTGACGGAAGCCAATACAGTAAGTAAACAATGTCCAATGAGCTGTGACAGTCTGTATGCCAAAAAGATTTTTCATGCAATCACACATACACAAACAGTACAGTCTATACAGAATTTACGACACAGTACAGGGACCTAAGCCCTTGATAACAGTACAGTTAGCAACTGACAGTCTATACAGTAATCCAAACAGTATGGAGACAGACGGTGGGGAAAGCAAACAAACACCCAAAGCCATAGCATGGCAACTCGGAACCTCGCAGTGAGGCACAAAGGTTGGCTTGACAAAACTGGAGTTACCCTGACGCTCCTAGCTCCGATCTGGTGCCTGTACACCTACATATATATATGAGCAGTGAGCTAAAGCCCAGTGAATAAATAAAGCGTAAAAGGGGTTTAGAATGAATGTTCCTTACAGTAATGAAAACAAGTTCAATCAATCAGTATTCAGTTGTTCAGTACAGTAAACAGTCATATGTGGTACATCCATTAGCATAACAGTGACAGTAGGTCTTAAAAGACACGACAGTAATGATGGCCATCAGTCAGTAAACAGTAGTGGTTCCACGAGGGAACCGACAGAGATCTCTGTAACAGTAACAGTAAACAGTAGGTACTAAGGATGCCACAGTACAGTTCAGAAATAAAGGACATACATTTCATTCAGTAATACCAGTTCAGTAAATAGTTCAGTAAACGGTTCAGTTCAGTATTCAAAAGATATTAGTTGAACATATCTTTACACAATTGTTACTCACCAGAGTTTGGGCTACGGTATGCTAGAGCGTGTCTCCCCAGTCGCCAACCCTACACAGTTCACAGGTTGAACACACACTAAGCTACACAGTTGGGAAAGATAATAACTTAATCCCTAATGCCTCGGTGTGTTCTACATCTATATCCTCAACAAGGTGCCTTAAACTAGGCCTAAGAATGCCTAGAACGGGATGAGGATGCAAAGGTGCACATTTAAAAGCATTTTCAGAAAAACAGAGTCCCGCTCGAGCGCACGTTTCCCCGCTCGAGCGGTCATGCAACAAAGGTACACGCTCGAGCGTAAACTTTCCCGCTCGAGCGTACTGTAAAAGTACTAGATGGGTGAAATCTCCGCTCGACGCCCGCTCGAGCTTGAGACTAGACTCCGCTCGAGCGCCCAATCCTCCGCTCGAGCGGATTGTAAAACAGTGCAGAGAGATGCTGGATGCTCGGATTCCACGCTCGAGCGGCATTTCCCCCGCTCGAGCGGAAGTGCGAAATCTGGAAAACCCAGATTGCACCTCCAAGCTCAAAACCAAGTTCAAAAGCATCAAAACTCGACCTCTTGGGCTAAATTTCCAGAAAACACATGTAAACTCATAGTTAAACATGATTCAAAACTCAATTTGAGAAATCAAAGCCCAAGGGTGTTTAATTCAAACCCATTTCAAATCATTTTCCAAGGACAATCCTCAAACATGACATGCATGATCTTTAAATCATTTTAAAGCTTTAATGCTGTTTCAAAAGAGCTCAAGCCTTCAAAAATAAGATGAACTCATGGAGTATGACTAAAAGATGGACATGCATGTGAGGTATGATGAACTACAACCTCAAAACTTCAATATATGTACATGCATGCAACAATTAAGCTTCAATTCAACATCTAAACCATGTCTTGGCTCTACACTCCATCAATATGACATGAACCATGCAAGAGTCAACTTAAAACATGAACAAGAAGACAATGGAGCTACCTTTAGTCTTGTAGTTCAAGAAGGGAGCTCAAATTAACAATCAACCTCAACAATTTCTTCAATTTCCAAGCAATTCCTCAAGGTGAAAACCAATTCTCTCTCTCTCTCTCTCTAGGTCGGCTAAGCACAAAGAGAAATGGCTGATGAAATGTTCTTCAAGTGTGTACATAAGGCTCAAGTGTGTGTATTGAGTGGGCCACTAAGGGTGGCAAAATGGTAAATAAATCAAACTATGCAATTGATCAATATTGATCTAATTTAATCATACCTAATCAATTTTCAGATAATTATACCATAAAATCACATTAATTCTGAGGATCATGGAACATCAATCGGTTTCTAATTCGGCCGCCGATATGGCCTTCAATTAGCAGTTTAAACATATAAGCATGAACAGATAATCATACAGTCAAACAGATAGAATGCAATTTAACTAACATATACTCAATCAATTCGGTTTCCAATTTCAGTCAGTCAGTTCAGTACCTTAATCAGTTCAATTCTCAGTCAGTTATCAGTCATTATCAGTTCCGTTTATTAGTAATCGGTGATTATTGGTAATCAATCAGTCATTAATCAGTAAACAGTATGAGGGTTGTTACACAGTTGCAAAAGAACGACATCTAAGGAGGCAGCCCAAGATGTTTGCTCCAAAATCAATGGGCTTCTCCATGAAGAACTCAACCTGGTAAAAAAAGGTGATGACAGGACAGTTAAAGTGGCAAAAATATCTGATGTGGCTGTAGGGAATGGTGACAGTTGGAGTTATGCCTCAGCAGTGGAAAAGACCATAGATTGTGCGAGAAATTCAAATGAAGAGGGTGCATGTGTGGTTGAGTCATCTTTGCCAGAGGAAAACCTGCACCAGAGGCAGAGGTATAGTTATGAAGCTCAAATAGGGGCTGAAGCTCAGTTAGCAGGTAGCCGGCAGGAGAGAGTAGGGTGTAATCATGAAGCTCAAAAAGGTACAATAGCCCCTATAGTAGAAGGTCAAATCCTCACCCCAGGTTTTATCAAAAGCCTAAGTCCTTCCCTAAAGAATAGATCTGGTATTTGTCTAGAGGTAGCTTTTACTCATAATCCAACTGGGTTACAGCCTGCTAACATGGCCCATTCGGAACTGTTGCCCATTAGGCCCTCTTGTGGTGCACTTCATTTTCCACCTGCAAGGCCAGTGTATGGGCCATCAGGAGTGGGTAGTGACACTATTAGCCCATTTATTTCAGGCTCTATTAATAATCACTTGAAGAGAAGCAAGAGGAAAGAAAACAGACTTGTAGGAGTCAAACAACCTCTGCTAGTTGGTAGGTTTACTAGTTTTGCTAGAAAACTTGGTCAGAAGGGAACTTGCACAAGCAAAGGAACCATTAAAAGCTTGAGGTCAAGATCCACACCTGCTCATATATCACTTCAAAATCCAGAAAATAAGCGACCCCTTCCTGGAATTGATATTCTTCAAGAGGCCCAA